TATTGTACCATCATCTCCCCATTCCTCTTCATTTCACAATGCCTTGGACTCAATATATGTTGGTTAAATCAAACTGAGTTGAGCCCAGCTCTGCTGATCAGTCTGGTGCACCGGGAACTGGGATAGCATGTGATTTGTCTTATTTTTTCTTTCTTTTTTTTTGCTCATTTGCTTTTTCCACATGCAGACTTTCTACAAATGTTATTAAAGTCTGATACAATGCTACATCTGGACTCTTGTGATTAGATTTCTCAAATATAGCTTGGTAATCTCTACACATCAAGTTGTTTTGAATTTTTTTTTCATTCATTAATTTTTAAAGTAATCTCTACACCCACCATGGGGCTTGAACTCATGACCCAAAGATCAAGAGTTGGATGCTCCATGCACTAAGCCAGCCAAGTGTCCCTGTTTTGAATTTTAAAATATAATTGGGTGAAGCTTGGGGGTAGATAAGACCCCCAAATGTATTTTTGTTAATTTTTAATTTTTTTCTTTTGTTCTTTTTAAATAACTTTCTTCTTATTATAATTATAATCCCTGTTCATTATAGAAACCTGAGAAAATAGTAGATAAAGAAAGAAATAAGATAAAAATTACCCATAATTGTACCAGACATTTTTTTTAAGCCCTAGGTAAATGTTAGGAATACAGTATAGCCTCAAAGGTTAAAGTTTGGGGGAGCATAATTGACTTAAGAAATTATCTAGGCTGGACAATTCTTGCTGGGGTAATTTTACAGATGACATTATTGAGAGAATAAGTGACTAGCCCATCTCAGATAGCGAGGACGGGGCTTAGGAGGATATTGGAACTGAGATTTCTAGTTTCCAAGGATAGTCAAAGGGGAAGTGCTAGAAACCTAACAATATCCCTCCGGATGGACATTTATTCTATTACCTCAATAAGCCACATGGTAAGTCATAAGGGGCATTTCATACTTCTAATCTGTCTCTACTGTATTTAGAATCTGATAATACCACTATTAGAATCCATCTCTTTAAGAATAAAAGGAACCGAGGAACTAAAGAGAGGGTTGCAATAATCCATTAATTATATCCGTTAAGCTTCAGTTACAGCTAATAAGGAAGATCACATGATCACGATGCGTGCTTGTTCTGAACAATAAAGAACATGAGGAAAGATACGATTCAGGACAGAAATGTCCTTCAGCGCTATGTAGGTAGTGGCAATCAAAGTCATTAAAATAAATGATTGAGGTATTTTTAGTTAACAAAAGAATTCATTGCTTACCGATCAGGAAGTGTATTATTAAGATAGTGCCGTTCAGCCTGTTGGAAGAAAATGTTTCTTCATGCTTCTCTCTTTAGCCTAATTCTTATCCTGTCACATTTCAGGCAAAAAAAAAAAAAAAGACAAGATTGAAAATGATGGCCCTATTTTATTTGCTTCAAAAGAAACAGGCTGTTGCATTGTGTTTGGAACAGTTTACTCTTGGCCTTGACATGTGAAAGGAAGACCATGTAATTGACTAGGCTGTCTCTGGGGAGGCAGCAAATATAGTGTTAAGACAACAGGCGTGAAAACAATGACTGTTTGATAAAAGTAAATAATTTCTGCAGCGAACATGTTCCCAACATATTTTCTTTGATACTGATTTGCTTAATAGGACAATAACAGAACCGTAAGTAACTTGTGGGCATTGCCTTTCTGATATTTTTCTTTTGCATTCTTGAATTTATAATGACTCACATTTGTATTACCTTTGGGTTATACTGAGGACCTGTAACTTTTATTAAAATCTGGAGCCTCCAATACCTGACATATATCTTTATTTCTTTGAAATCTTAGGATTGAACTAGAACATTCTTGTGAACATTGATAGATTAAAATAGGAGTTTTTGTCAACTGAAGACATGAATGGCAGACCACCATACGGGATTAAAAAACAGGTGTTGGGGGGGTTGGGGAGAGGAGGGGGGAAAAACCCTTAAGTAATTCACCCATGATAAGAGTATATAAGGGTGGAAGTTGGAAATCAGGAAGAGAGCATTTTTGGAGAGGGGTGTTGGTTTGCTATGAATGAACCCTGCCCCTCCCCCAGTGGAGATAGCCTAGGGGAGGTCTGTCTATCCCTTTATGCGTGGTTAGAAAGGGCCCTCCACAAAACCACTTCAAGAACCTGCTATGGGAAAACTGTTGCCTGGGGGGCATAGTCCTCAGGACCCTGACTCTCAGCTAAACGGGGAGAGACAGTTGGGCTGGCTGCTTTGATGGTGGAGTCAAGATTACCCGCACTGGACAGCCTTGTGGGGGTCACCGTAAGTCTTGTCTGAGAGATGCCCCTGGAAGAAAGAACACAGAACTACTGAGAAGATGGGGGTCGCTTTGGAGCTGAAGAGAAGTAACCAACCAATTGGGACCCATTCATCCTGCGGAGAGAATGACACGGCAAGATTCCCAGTGATGGGGGTTGGGCATGTCTCTATAAATGACAACCCTCTGCCCCATAAACACCCCAAAAGCAGTCAGTTTTAAACACATGCTGAGTCTTAGAAAACTCATATACTAAATCACCACCAGGATATCTGGCAAGTAAGAACTTCCCCGCTCCCCTTATCTCTCCTTCCTCCTTGTCCTCTAACCCTGGGGACCCCAGCAAGATGAGCGGGAGAGGAGCAGAACCCCTGGGCGGGAAACCAGACCAGAAGTTTGCCCCCCTTCTGCAATTGCAGGTTCTCCCTTGCCACTGGCCCGAGCTGGGGGATGGAAGGAAATGTTCCTTTTAAATTGAGAATATAATGTTATTTCATTTAAAAGCATTTATATATTGGGACTGGATATTTTAATTATTAAACCAAGACTGTGTTTGGTAGCTTAAAGTGATAAGAAGACTTCTTTTTATTACCTAAGAGCATCCAGAAAAGTCGGGGGCCTGCCTGAGTGTTCATGCAGTGACAGGGGAAGAATGAGGTCCTAGGGCAGATTTTATGAGGGTAACCAGAGCTGTTATGGACTTGTTTAATGTAGTGCTTCCATATGCAGGTTTGTGTACCATTGGTTGTGCAAGGGGGAGAAAAAAGGGCTGTCTTATATTTTTCCCATTCCTTTTTAGAGAGGAGAGCTCTGCAAGGGTAAAAGCCCAATTCAAAACCCGATGGGTTTATTTGCATATTCAAGTCTAAGACAAATCACGTAAGAACTGAATTATGGCATTCATTATTTCAAGTGACAAGCTGTGTTGTTTTTTTTTTTTTTTTCCTTCTAATTTAACAAATTAATTTTCCTTGGAACCTTTTGGTTCACGAAAAGATGACAGCATTGAAGATTAAAGTATGTGGTTCTTCCCAAGATGTTCTCAGCCCCGCAAAGAACTCTGTGCATATTCAGGCTTCCTTCCTCTCCCGTAACCTGTATTTCTTGATATTCTCTTTACATTCTGGAAGATTTTTTTAAAAGAAAAAATCTTCTGTGGCTGAAGGACATTTCAAAGAATAGAGGATACAGTTTTAAATCAAAGGAAGTTTCATGATATGACTTCAGTAGCTCATTTGACTTACAGTGCATCCTTTCCTCATGAAAGTGTTAAATAGTTCTGCACAGTGAGGCTGGTAATCTTTCTGCAAAATACAGGGTTGTTTTCTTTTTTTCCTGCCCTACAGAATGTATATTTCAAAATATGAATATCAACAGTTAGAAAATAGTATGTTATATATATAATATATATATAATATGTATGTATTTTTTTTTACTACTTTTTCAAGGTCCTTGAAAACCTATAGTCATGAATATTTTCTCTCCTCAGTATTTTTCCCCTCCCAGAAATTTTGAAGTTTCTTTGCATGACAAATGTCTTTTTAAAAATTATTATTATTATTATTTTATAGACATGAAAGAGGGTGCTATATCCCCAACCAGGTATAGGAAATTCTGAAGCCCCCTATTTTTTACTTTGTTTTGCAAAGAGGCCCTTCTCTTTAAGAAAAGTAATTTGTTATTCACAGTTTCCTTGTCCTCATATTATCAAGGGAAAAATTGTAGAAATTTTAAAGAAAGCTCTAGGCAATGTTTTCATCCCTGAATCTTTGGGGAGTTATAAAAACAAACAGATTACTGAACCTACAAGAGAAACAATTGTGAAGTCATTACTTTTAAGCATAAGCAAAATCTCCTCCTGGATCATTAAGTTATAGAAGAATAGAGAGATTGCATTTTGAGATTCTGATAAAGCTAGGTAACTTGTAAGTCAAACAAGTAAAATTTTACAATTCAGAAATATTGACAAAAGTTGAGTATAATATACTTCTCACATTCCAAACATAAAGCTTCCTTCACTGAGCTAATAGAGGTACCGCCACAGTAGATATTTAAGAAAAAATAAATAGAATGAGTCAACAATTTAAGACTAAGGTGTTTTTTATTCATTCTCATTCACATAAAATTTTTAAATCATCATAAGAACTTTGAAAGAAGGAGGGGGCAGAGAAATCACCCACTTTCCTTCTCCCCAACTGTCTCCTTCAAATGTTTGCCTTTTCCTCCGATTGAGGCACCCCAAAGAGGGAAGTCTGGGCAGCTCAGTACTGATCAGACCAAAACCACTGATCCTCCAGCTTCCTCAGCTCCAACCTGTTCTCAGCCCTTGACTTTTGGCTTTGTTTTGGTTCAAGTCCTATGACATGATTTGGCTTATCAGACTGAACAGCTTAATGCTCCTCCTTCCCTCGTAATTGGTCTAGCCCTATGGTGGGCCCAGATCATTCAGAAAACATAGCCATTCACAAGGACCTTGGTAAATTTCCTTCCAATGTTTTTCCAATATCTTTTTCTCCTTCATAGAGTAGTACACCCACGCACGTATTTAAATATCTTGTGTTTTTCTTTAAATTACTTTTTAAACATTTTATGTCGTGTCTGTAATTGTCACTTTTAAGAAAATAAAATACTCTCCAATTGATATATAATAATTTATTTGGTCATTCTGCCACAGTAGTAGACATCTGTTTTTCTTCCTGCTCAGCATCATTCTTTTCTTTCAGGAAATGAATGCCACTCGCCCTTTGTGTGGGATCTGGATGAGACTGCTGATCACAGTGTTTTCATTCTGCATTTTATCTCAGCAAGGGGCAAGCAGATGACCCAAGCCAGGCCAGTTAGATATGACCTCCATATCATCTGCTTAGAGAGTCTTAAGCATGGTGTCACCCCGCTCAAAGTTTGGTTGATAAGCAGAAGGTGACTGAAGCTGGGTCATTCTAACACAGTACCCCAAAGAAAGACTATCCATGTGACCATTATATGAAAGTCCCTGGAGTTACCCTGGTTCCCATCCTTCCTGATGTCATTGATTTGAAGAACTACCCAATCTTTCCAGTGTTCTCTTTTGCTAGAGACAGTCAAAATTGCCATCTGTTCTTTGCAACTAAGGAACTCTAAATGATAGACTTGTTGCTAGACATTTTGGTTATTTTTATTGTTTTGGATACTTCTGTGATAAACATCTTTGTGTGCTTGTGTGTGTATAATGGCTTTTTATATATTTTAAATAATTTCCCAGAAGCATAATTACTTAGTCAAAGGATATGAACATTTTTCTGATTCTTAATATAAATTGCTCAAATGTTTTAAAGAGGATTATGTGAATTTACATTTTCTATATTACAGAAGGCATTTATACTAAAAAATACTACAAAAATCTGCCTCTCCGTTCCGAAGGACCTTGTAATAGATGCTGTGTTGAATGTACTTGATATAGGAACAGAGTGCTTTCAGTTTAGCTTTAAAATAATTTCACTGGGCTGTTCATAAGATCTTATGGAGTTACGGCGAAACAGGCATATTAACATAGGTTAATTTGCACCAGACCTAGGCTAGTAAAGAGATTGTGTATTCAACAGTCTTAAATCTGTAATAAAAAGCTGATACTCAGTGGATATTGAATAAACACGTTGCTAGTGTGTTTGCATTATTCCATGAAATCCTCAAAATGACCCTACTGTTATCCCTATCTTATAGGGAAGGAAAAGAAGACTTCGAGAACTTGATTAACTTTCCCAAAGGCTGTACTGGGACTAGAACCCAAATCCACGTGCCCCTTAACCCTCATTGTAAAACTATATCCTAGTCATCTGTTCCTACAGAACTTGGGGTCAGAAAGCCAAGTTGGACTCCTGACTCCACCACATAGTAATTGGATAACCTTGGAAAATCCACTTAATTTCCTTGAAAATTAGTTTTCTAATCTATAAAACTAAAATAATAATACCTACTCTACCTGCCTCATAGGACTTTGTGAAACACGTAGAGATAATGTGGGAAAGTGCTATACAAATGTAAAGTATTAGCATGATGACTTAGAGTTAGTGAACCCCATGGGTAAATACCCCTGACCTCTGTAAGAGGTCATAAAGAACACTGGGGCCTTCGGATACCCATTCCTCTCTTTCTGCCTTGAGTTCTGTCTGAGGCATTTGAGATACACACACAAGCCCAACAGATGAGCATGAAATATATCAGCTGGATTGGGAATGTGGTTTAAGTGTGTGGCCACAATGGGCTTCCTAATACTTCATGACTGAATAAGGAGATCAGAGTTACCCACCCCTCGCTGACCGAGCTGGACCCTTCACGTCTCTCCCATAGGGCAATCTTTTAGTGCCTGACAGTGGAGGAAAAAGTTGGCTGAAGACAGGCTACTCCAAAACACAAGCATGAATGGTGCTGAGCCCACATGGTCAGGGCCTCCTTCCTAAGTAAACAATCACATCATTTGTCCTAGACAGAGGTACTGCGGTGGCATGGAGAAAAGGTCACAAGACTCCCACGGTTTACTTTTCTGAGAATCTTTATGGGAATATGGAAATATGAGGTTCGAGAGAGTAAAGTTTCCCTAAGCAGTGAAGAAGCTCTATTGGTAACAGGAAAACAAGGACCACAGGGAGTCATCCTTCAACTCTACTGCCTCCCACTTGGCTGAACTGAAGGGAGTCATCTGTGGCCGCTACATACAGTTTTGTCAACTTTGTAATTCCACACCCACTCTTTAATTTCTCACCATGTGGCCATAAAACTCCCTCCATATTATTCATTTAAAAAATAAAATGTGTTTCCTCTCCTATAAAATACAGCTCATTGTCAGCACTCTTGCATTGTTTGCTGTCTGATGTAACCCTTTCCCACCACTTGGGCTGCGTGCTCTCTGTGTCTCTGTGGGTTCTCTCCAGGTCCAAGTGTGTGCCAGCCCCATTTGGGCAGCAGAAGCCCCATGGAAGGGCACCGGGAGATGAGAGCTAATTGGAGTTTTGTGATTAGCTGTCCTGGATGCCTGGTCCTGTCAATAGTGCTCAATAAAGCCACAAGACCAAACATTCCCTTCTGCATACTGATTGCTGAGTTGGATTTCTCTGTGCAGAAGCACTTTCCAGGCAATTTTAGAAAATTAGTCTTGGTTCTTAAGTGGTTAAAATCCAAGTCTGGAGAATTATTAATTATGGCTGAGAGTCTGCTATGATATTTTTGTCTTAAAACCTTTCCCCAGTTTCTTAGATCCCCGAACCTTATATCTGATTAACTATCTCGTTCCAGGCTCCAAGAGTGATAAGTGCATATTCTACCAGACTTAGAGGATAGGACTTTTAAATGTCTTTCTCCTTGTCCCCTTTTCCTTATTGCCTCCCTGCTAGTCCAGGCCCTTATTCTTCATCTATGCTATTATGATGACCATGAAGGAGGTTTTCTGGGGCTACCCTAGTTCCTGTCCATCCAGAGTTCTGTTGGTCAGTTCTTTCTTCAGTCCAGTGAACTGCCTTGTCACTATATTTCTATTTTGACATAAGTTGGCCAGAGTCTCCTTGTAACCAAAGGACTAATAAAACACCAGCTTGCAATGATCTGTGTTGGTTTCAAACTTCTCCAGTATTTCCTGTCTAATCCACCTACTGATTTTTAGTAGTTTCTTCCTTTTATTGGGTAATTATCTATTTGCGTGCACATCTTATCTCCTCAAACAGGATGTGGTCTTCTTAAGGGTGTTGGACCATGTTCTCTCCATCTGTAGATGCCTTATAGCACCTAGTGGTGCCTTTCACAAAGAAAGTCCACCATAGATATTGATTGATTAATTACTCCATTTTCTTCTTCTTTATCTCCAGCTCCTCCTTAGTCATATCAATCATCTTCATGGGGGTACCAGAGGAAGCACTTTGCTTTACCTGCAGCTATGGGGTTCTATCCCCACAGTAGCTATAAGAGGACCCAGAGAGGCAAATATAACCCTGCCCTGGTATCACATCCTCGGCCTTCTGGGGCCCATGGCAAATAGCAGAATGTAGGGGCTTACCGCTTGATCAGCTGCTCTCCATGGGGACTAAGTCCCTAAAGTAAAGGGGCCTGATTAGAGAAAATCATTATTTTATTAAATAGTACCAGTATAAATACTGAGTATTCTGGTGTGTGTTTTTGATAAACACATCTTTGTGTGTGAGAAAAAGAAGAGTAAAAACTAGATTATCATTATTATTATTATGTATGAGTTGTAACACATTAATGTATTATTCAGAACTCTTTGATTGCAAATGACGGACACTCAATTCAAACCAACCTGAGTCAAAAAGGAAAGTATATTGGCTTATGTAATCTTATCACAAACGTGTCAGGGTCGGTGGACTCTCAGGGACAAAGGAATGGGATATGAGGATTAATCCAGTGTGAGTCAACTGCCCATCCCAGAGGTGGTAGTGGTGATACGGAGTCTTAGTAGAGGAAGGGTGTGTGTTAGGGAGGGGGGAGTGCTGAGCAGATAAAGATAAGGGCCAAAAACCATTTTAAAAATGGTTTCCTTTGATGTCTTCCTAAATTTTGCAAATGCTTTCAACCAACAGGGGAAAGAACATGGAGACTACACTAGTGGGTGCTCTTCTTGTATCATGAGCCCCATGCCTGCCTTGAAGAGCTTCCTCATGCCTGTACCCGAGGCTGAAGGTGCCCTGTGAAAAGCTTCTACAAGGCTGCTCCCAAGCTGGGCTCCTCAAGTGGTTCTGTTCCTTCCCTGATGCTCCACACCGGTGATCTCCCTCCTCTCCTGACCTCTGGGACTGACGGCTTGTTTGCATGGACTGCCTAGATTTTATTTATTTATTTGAGAGAGTGCACCTGCACACATGAGTGGGGGGAGGGGCAGAGGGAGAAGCAGACTCGCCCCTGAGCAGGGAGCCAGATGTGGGCCTTGATCCCAGGACCCTGAGATCATGACCCAAGCCAAAGGCAGGTGCTTAATGCTTAACTGGGGCTGAGCCACCCAGGTGCCCCGTTGCTTTTGTTTTCATTCTGGATGACAAAGCCTTCAGATTATCCTAAACCTGATAAACTGTAGCCTACTGTAGCCAATTGGAGGAGAGGCCAGTTTCCCCCTCCTCCAACTGGGCCATGCTCCTTCACCCTAGCTTAGGTCAAGCACTCCTGGAAAAAGAAAAGGCATGGTTCACGATAGACTTTCTAGAAATGGGTTGTTTTTGACATGTTGTGAAATTTATTCACACTTTGGAACCAAAGCATTTTCCCACTGAAAGCAACACCAACCAGGCTGCCCCTGGAATGTAAGGAGGCCCAAATATGGGATATTCTGGAGAGCTGTATTTGGGGCATTTAACATATTCTCCAAGAGATTTGCTTAGGGCACAGCGCTGAAATTACCACCACTACGTCTGTCATGTCCATGGAGTTGATCTCACGGAATGCAGCCTCAGAAGAGAAGCCAGCTCTTTGGTGTGGCCAGCCTTCCTTCCCTCAGAAGTCAGCTGTGTTTTCTTTTCTTTTTTTTTTTTTTATTCTTATGTTAATCCCCATACATTACATCATTAGTTTTAGATGAAGTGTTCATGACTCATTGTTTGTGCATAACACCCAGTGCTCCATGCAGAATGTGCCCTCCTCAATACCCACCACCAGGCTAACCCATCCTCCCACCCCCCTCCCCTCTAGAACCCTCAGTTTGTTTTTCAGAATCCATCGTCTCTCATGGTTCGTCTACCCCTCCGATTTCCCCCGCTTCATTCTTCCCCTCCTGCTACCTTCTTCTTCTTCTTCTTCTTCTTTTTTTAAACATATAATGTATTATTTGCTTCAGAGGTACAGGTCTGTGATTCAACAGTCGTACACAATTCACAGCGCTCACCATAGCACATACCCTCCCCAATGTCTATCACCCAGCCACCCCATCCCTCCCACCCACCCCCACTCCAGCAACCCTCAGTTTGTTTCCTGCGATTAAGAATTCCTCATATCAGTGAGATCATATGATACATGTCTTTCTCTGTTTGACTTATTTCATTCAACATAATACCCTCCGGTTCCATCCACGTCGTTGCAAATGGCAAGATCTCATTCCTTTTGATGGCTGCATAATATTCCATTGTATATATATACCACATCTTCTTTATCCATTCGTCTATCGATGGACATCTTGGCGCTTTCCACAGTTTGGCTATTGTGGACATTGCTGCTATAAACATCGGGGTGCACGTTCAGCTGTGTTTTCTGCTGATTCTCCCCAGGAAAGGCAGTGCCTGAATCCTCACACCATCACCAGGCGTAGTAAGTACTCCTGACAGTCCCAGAAAGCATCCAGCGCTGGAGCCCCAAAGCTTGCGATAGATTATGAGAGAGAAATGAGAAAGTGGAGTTCTTCAGGTAAACCTTTCTTTTTACAAGTCCCCTAATTTTACTGCATAATTATTTTGAATCCACGGATAATTTGTACAATTGTCCTATAAGTCATTCACACACAATTCCCTCTCATGCCACACTTGCCTTTGTTAATACATACCTATTAATGAGAGCTGGGCTTCTCAAGTGCAAATGCTTTATAGATCTTACGGCTCTCAGCTTACATATAAAGGGATACTGAGCACTACAGTACCAAGATCTTTTATTTACGTATGTAAAGAATTCACTGGATTGGCTGAAATAAACTCATCTGTCAGTTTCTGTACACACTTGTAACAAAGAAGTCATTAGCTAAGGAAAAAAAAATACAATCCGTGCAATTAAAAAAACAGACCGACTTTGCCCAACACAAAAATAAGACAAAAGAAACTGCGTGAAAGACAGTATTTCTTTAATCAGGTCATTGAGAGTCTATTACAAAGTATTTTTTTCTTTACGGCGAGCACTCTCTTGACTCAAGTGAGCAGTGATGAGCTCTTTGGCCTTTTGTGTCTACATAGGACGGGGGCATTGCCATAAAACTCTCACCTGGCACAAGTACTGAGAAAGCGCTCAGGCTTGCTTCTCAAAGCA